GTTCTTTAACTTTGTCGGTCCATAAAAGTTGTGGATACTGGAGATGTGCAAAAGTTTTTTCTACTGATTGTAGCCATTCTACGATTCCTTCGGATTTTGAATGATCAAGTATTACAATTCTTTGAAGGAGCTTTTGTGCTGCTTGTAACTGTGATTGGACCAGTATTTGAAATTCATCTTCTTCTTGTATTAAACGTGTCTCGTCTTCAGAGCTGATCGGATTCAGCTGTTCTTCTTGGTTTTTATCAGTTTCCTTCGCTGACATGGTTAAGTTCGGAATAGGAGAGACAGATTCAATAGATTCATGAATATTGTTTATTTCTTTTGCCGCGGCTGCGAATTCGTTAGAAGTTTTACTAGTTTTGCGAAGTTGTGGTGGTGTAAGACGACTGACTTGGTGGATTGACTGATGAGTTAGGTCCATTTTGGATCGAGTAGCGGGCATTATAAGACATTTTAATAACCAGAACGAAGTAAAAAGAAAATTATTCACAAAAATTTACTGTGAATGGGGAATAGTTTGCTTGTAACGATTAGTGTATCGATTGATATAAATATCGCAATTACAATGAACAGCAAATTAAAAAAATAAAAATCGACCTTAAACTACAATCTTCGTCGAAGATGTTTAATTTATTTCACCAGGAAGATTTATAAATTAGTCTTATTCTAAGTAATGAAGCGTAACATACCTTAATCTTTTTCGGAAATATCGCGTTTTTCGTCGATTAATCTTTTGAATTATAATAATTAATAATATCTCAATAGATTCAATAGATAGAAGAGAGATTCTCGATAAAGTAAAGAAGTATATCAATACAGACAAAAAATAATATACGAAAGAAAATATTTCTCAGATCTTTCATAAGAAAACTAATGGTCAGGAACCACTTGTCACCTTCTAGCTGCCAGGAGGATATTATTCTGTCTCTAGATGCCACTCAGAAACTCTGATGGCTATCCTTATGGCCCGGGTTCTCAGGATCCTCTCTTGATAGGAATGCTGACAGAAACTAGAGGGACTAAGAATGATCACCCTTTTCTCCAATCGAGTGAATAAACGTTCGACAATGTATGTATTCTTTTTTAAAATAAAAAAGAAAATGATATCAATACAGAAAGTATACACGCGAAGTGTGCTACTAGTTAAAATCAAAAAAGTAAAATGTATTACTGACAACTTTATCTGTATATCACGAAAAAGAAGACACGTCAGCACATGATGAATGAGAAAAAAGAAGAAATAATATAAGTGAACGGTAAAGAACAGAAACAGAATATAACTAACTAGAAAAAGAAGGATCTACTGTCGACTATGTCTGCTGCTAACTAGGATAGGGTGGATCCTGGCACATTTGCTTCCTGTTCGTAGAGTTACGAATAAATCTAACCAAATTACATGCATCATCGTACGCGATAACGGTTGGCAACACTTCAAATTTTTTAACGATATTCACCAGAAAATTATAAACTTGACTAAGGGATTCCGAACCATACAGTTCATCGACAGCACAGATGTAACCACAATTGTAAACCGCTGCTACGATACCAGCACTTCTGTGCGATGGAATATTTGGATTATCAGATTTCAAGGTTCGACATATTAACTGTTGCGTTGGATTTCGTAGATTGTATAACTTTCTTTCTTTCGATGGTTCTGGTGGAGGTTTAAAACCAATATGCTCCGAACAATATGTATTCTTGTAGGCCGGTAAATGTGGACAACCAACTTTGATAGCTCCTAGCTCTTCGCTAGGAATTGTACCAATTTTGTAGGCACAAACCCGTCTGGTTGCTTTTTGATGTCCATCAAGCACCAGCAATTTACAGCAGTCTTCGTTACAGTATGACTGATGCCGTTTTGAACTCCATCGTCTGATAAAAAGATCAAGACAATCTCTTTGTAACGATAAAATTTCTTTATCAAAATCTTTTTCAACTGGCACTTTGGTCTTGACATCCTTACCAAAGAATCTGCATAATCTCCATAAAAACCATGTTCTCTCGACATGAAATCGGTCCATTAACTTATGGTTCACTATTCCAGCCGCTTCACAATACATATTATATGCATTTGTATAATTCGAAAAGCCACAGTATTTGAACAGTATATCATTATCAAGACGATGCAAGAGTTTCACGTCGTAAGCGATATTCGAGAATAAACAAATAATTGTGGTATCATCGTTTATTATACAAAATTTATCTCCATCTTCATTTTCATAATAGTTATAATAGTACTTAATGTTGCAAACTCCACACTTCCTATAATACAATGTACCACTTGAAGATGATTCGCTGAAATGAAAAATACGTATATCTTGAAACGGCCTTGGTGCTGATAAAAGTTTACCGCAGCAAATTGTTTTCTCCGGTAGATAACAACTCAATAACGAACATATATGATTATTTGGAAATTCGAGCATGTACTGTTTTATTTTACATGTAATTTGAGTGTCGGTCATACCAATAATATTGTCATTGAACCGTGGTGCCAGATAATCCCAGTTATCAAGATGACATTGTACTTCATTCTCATTCATGGTAAGATTATAAAATCGATTAATTAATTTAGTTATATGAAACAATCTCTTGTCAGCATTTCTATGAATGCGTAAATCTAGTTTACGAAGAGTTGAAGCAATTTCAATTGACGGAATATCGAAAAGGAGCTTTGCAGGTTCACTTAAAAGAGGCTTCGACGATGTCATAATCCACAATATACAATGCAGTTAATAATACGCGCGAGTAAATTCTAAAAACAGCATACGGTTAGAAAACAGAACAGATATTACTTCGATATTTTGATTTTCTTTAGTTTGTTCTAGAGGACAGCACTCAAATTTCTGGCCACTTACTCAGCGAGTGCATGGTAGCTCTTAAACTGTTGGAAAATGGCTGACTACCATTTTCACCTCTCTTTCCCTCTTGAAACATGGTGAAGTAATTTCTGCTGTGAATGGGTAGTGATCTTCGTTCAGTAACAATCATTCAACTACATCTTCTATTTTTTTACAATGAGGCAAACAGTACAAGTTTTTGACCAAAAAACAGCACAAGTAATTAAGTATTAAACGTATTACATGATGAAAATATTATAATGATGACAATAAATTTGAATTCTTTGATTTATTAACAATAAAAAAGTACAACTGTCTTTTACTGAAAGAGTATGCTGCGCGAGATGCTCATCTCTGATCTGTTATCTATTACTAAATTGAAGCTAATATTCAGTAAATTGATTATACAGATTAATATTTTCATTCAATGTTGATAAAAGTGTCATTTACATTGAGCATTCTCGCTATAGAATATTCAATCGAATAGAAGAAATACATTATACACAGAACAATGCTGAAAACTTGGTAGAAACCTTATGCACAAAATATATAATCTCCAAAAAAAACAATTTACATTGCGCCTTCAAGATACAGTGCACTTATAAATACGACACAATTCTACACACATATTGATGCAACATTATTTTGGATTAACATTAAGCGGAATACAATGATAAGTTTAAAAGTCACACTTAAATTAATCGTTTACAAGGGTATATTTTTCTACATTCTAAGTGCGGTATGCTACAGAGTCAACGACAAGAAGTTAAACGAGAATAACTACAAAATTTTTAGATGCAGAAACATTCGATGGAAAAACTAACCAAGATTGTTCGTCATATCTTAACATTATCGATACTGCTCACATTGGATTTCTTCTATGCAAGTCCAAAGTTCTCAGTCGATCATCAGGCACGTCAAGGTATGTAGTTCTCAAGAAATTCTTCTTTTCTAACAAATTCGCCAAGAGAATATGTTGGTCTACTTGAGTAGGCACGTTTTCGATCTAGTCGTTTTAACAACCACAACTGAATCTTTTTCCAACTATAGACTACAACGACTGCACAACAAAAACATGATAGAACAGTGGTTAGTACAACAGCTGTAGTTGTTACCCGTTGAGAACTTACTCTCATACCACCATACAGCCAGTCGTTCAAATATAATTTTGTATCCGCAATTTTTTTTCTTAAATCAACTAGTAATTCAGCCGAATTTTCCGTAAGACTTAAATTTTTCAATTGTGATGTTAATTCATTAATTGAATTTTCATTCAATTCTAATTTGAACCCACCATTGACAGGCCACAAATATGTTTTTGTGGTATTGCATGTTGAGCCGCCATAATAAGAATAATGAGCACAATGAAAACGTTTAGAACAATCAAGTTTTATAACTCCAATCTTAGAAATTGTTTGAATTCTTTTATGTTTTTCATCTTCGCCAAGAAAACAAGAAATGGTATTGTGAGATGAAAAACTCCATATATCTTCTGAGAGACGAACCCTTTATGGAGAATGTAAAGTTAATTTGACTGTTGTACAGCCACTGGTATCATTTGTGGTTAATAGATCACGAAGACAGGGTTGTGGTATATGGTCGTAAGTAAGCGGTGGTAATCGACAAAAACTGTACGTTCCTAATGAGCATTCAATATTTGATGGCGGTTTTGACCATTCCATGTATTCACCTGACGATGACAATGCTATTAATGCTGGAATTCTATCCAGTTGAATTACTGTATTATTTGAGATGAACAATGGCATTGGATGAACTTGATAGAGTGTGAATTCATCAGATGGAACAAATATATAATTTCGTACAACAATATTACCTAGATAGTCCGGGAATAAATCATCTTTTAGATGTGCATTCTTCGGGTGTAATTTCAATGTTTTTAACGAATAATCATATGCCTGGTCACCACCTGGAACAAATGACACCACTAGCTGTACAATCAATTTTGGAATTAGATTACTGATTGAAATTGCTAAACCGTTTGGTAATGAATTTTTAATTTTTGAATAGATGAATTCAAACAAAATAGCTTGTTCGTGCTGCTGAAGGTAATTGAAATTCAATTTGTTATTACCGATATCTTCAATCGACAAACGAATTATATTATACGAATCAATCATATCTTTCTGCAATGCATGTACTGTCATGTCGTCAACGGTTTGTCGGACATTTTTCTCAAGTTCAAGCGCGTGCTCGAGAATTTCACCTAAAACGTACAAGTTTGTTGATATTGTATCTAATTTTTTTACCACTTTGATCGATGTTTCCTGCATTTCAAGAATCGTTGTTTGTTGTTGAAGAAACATTGATTGATCACGTCGAACTGCTTGTTCAAGTTCGGTCACTCTGTTTGATAACTGATTGATATGTCCATTATTAGTAATACCCATCCAATTAGAAAAAATAGTCCCAACAATATTTAGTCCAATAAGAAGTAGATTACGTCAATTTCTAGTTTTGGGCTTATTATCGGCTGTCGTATCATGTGATACATGTCGTCGATTACGTGCTTGACCATTAATATCAATAGTTTTCAGTATCGGATTTAAAAACCGTGAATCATTACGCAAACTATTTGAATATTCTTCGCATGCTTTTAATGTTCAAGACTGTTGTATAGTAATTACATGGCAAAAGTATTGAGTGACAGGTATGCCGACGGTCACACCGAATGTTGCTCCAGGAATCTAAACCGGACCTTTATTAACAATAATCAGACCAACACCTTTGTGTATTACCGTATCACCGGTTTTACTTCCATTCAACAACAACAAACCTCTTGATATAAAAACTTTTTGCTTCAGTAAAATTAACGGTATTATCAATAAATCTAACTTTCCAGCCATATATTTTTAGCTTATAACAAAAACTGTTGCTTACTCAATATCGAACAAGTAGATCCTGTCAATCTTTTGACTGAATAGAAATGTGTATGAACAAGAAATGTATATAATATATTAGTGTAAGATAATTCATACACAAAAACGATTTTTTTTCTCTTCTATTTACAAGCAATAACTTTCAAAAGGAATCATAAAGATAAAATAACGGTTTTTTCTTAAAATATCGGTATGATTGCGTAATATAAATAATTGAACTTTTCTGTTTGATCTACAATGTTTGTGAGATAACAACTAAATATGTACAAAAGCTAAGTTTGATTACTTGTTTGTCTATCATATATTAAGAAAATAAATGTAAAATTTAAGATAATATTTCAGTTTATTTGCGTATTAATTGACGGAATGCTTGTGATGGTTAAGCAATTCACATATCACGAAATAGATAGTTCTAACATAATATATAAAAGAAATTTAATTCTTGTGATCATTCCGACCATAATTCATTGTTTGAACCAGAAACTGTAACTAAACAGTCAAACTTAGGCCTCAGCAGAAAGATTAAATATAACATATCCGTTTTGGAAAAACACAAGTTATTTTAAGCATGTAAGGAGGGTTCTACATTCATGAATACGATCCATAATAAAAGACTCATTTAACAAGACCTATAAAGTGAGAAGTTGAATAATCTAATAAAGTATAATAGTCTTACAAAATTCTAATAGTCTAATAGTCGAGTCGAACTGATATGAAAAATTAAAAGTCTATCAGAAGTATAATAGTCGACTGATTCCAGTAGGTCAAGCCCTCCTTCCTTTCCTCGAAAAGTTCAATCACTTGGTACAAGAAAGATCACACAAAATTTTTCAACGCGTCTTGCATGTTCGAATAACCCTTTTTTAGCTAATTTCTTGGCATAAGACAATTTTAAGGACAATTTTTATCTGACAAAAACTTTCTTCTTTCATTCTCTCTCCTCATTTTCCTTTCGTCTATCAGTACTGTCTATCTAAATTCCACTTCGAACCAGTCCAAAGTAAAACGTAATAAAAAGTATCAGTCAGACTGCAGCGTTGGACTGAAAACATCAGACCAGTCAAAGATTGGACTAGTTTAAAGCACAATTTAGAATTAATCAGGGCAATGTGAATTGCTCTAGGCTAATGTCAAATCAGGATGATAATGACAAGAATTTTTAGTTCAAAGATTTGCTTTCAGCGTTAATTCCAGCAGCAGTAGATTCGAAAGTGTTTTCATCTCAGAGGTTTTTTATCATCCTGAATCTATCCCACTATTCCGCTATACCAGGGTACCGCTTATACTACTGGCGCCTCGTATATCTACGTTGAGTTTGATGGAGAAATTCGGTTTAGTATGAATTTGCCGCAACATCAAATTCCCCATTAACTCAATATAAGAAAGAATAAATACTACTTCCACGGAATATCTGTCTATCTGTTATATCGATACGCAAGAGAATTCTTAATCAGAATGCGTTCATTAGAAATTTTATTATTTCGATAATAAAGAATTGTAAACTTTTAAAGTTTGTAATTGTTTTTTGTGACATTACAGGATTTGAGCTTTATGAATCTAACAATACGACAAGAAAATTTTCACATCCTTTATTGATCCAAAATGAATGTATAACCTGATGAAAGACATAAACTAGCCCGCTAACTCAGCTAGAGAGACAACAGAAAATCTATCTAAAGTGAAATTATTCAAGTTGGAGATGGATACGGGCACTGCTAGTGGAGTAGCATTTTTCGTAAATTATTGGGAGTTTTTATGTCGTCTAATGTTCAAAAATCATTGATGTGTATTGGTACAATCATTTAACTATCGTGCTTTTGAAATCAAAAAGTTAAAATACTATTTCCTAATCCAGCAGATGTAACGCTTTTTCATATTATTTTCGCCGTAGTTTAGTCAGAAATGTGTGACGAATACAAAACGTTGTTGTATTATTGCACGTTTTCTTTTCATCTTGTGTCAAAAAATGACAATAATTGGTGAAAAAGCATTAAAAAATGTATCTGGTAAACGTAATGGCAATGAGTAGGCGAGAAATAGGAAAAGTCATCAAAAATAGCAAAAATGCATCTGAAACTCTATACTATAAAAGAACAAGAAACATAAAAAAGTGAAGATCAACGCTTTAACCGTTCTCATATCAAAATTTGATGGTTTTTTTTCTAGAGAAGCGTACCTCGAGATTTTTACATATTCGGAATCAGCGTGACGAGTTACGTTGTACGGCGCAAAGATCTCATCGGGCTATTTCCGATTTTTGGCCTTTTGGAACTCCACTTAGGTTTCCACGGTATATTACACTATATTCACTGTGAGTTTCTCCTATATTCTATCAACTTCCCAGATTAAAAAGTTAACCAATCTGAAAATACCCCTCTCCAGTTTTTCTGGCAGTTTGAAGTACACAAGTTGTGCTCTATGCCGAGCTATTTTTTAGAAAAGGGTACAGTCTACACGTTAAAACGCGTTTCATTGATCATTTTAACCTCGTTAGAAAACGTGTTCAACAAAACGCCAGAAAACGGTTAATTTAACGACCGTTAGCAAACGCGTTATTCTAAACTTACCAACGACAAAAAACGCGTTTAAACGGCTCTTTTGGCGATCGTTCGCTAACGCGTTGGAAAAAAACGCGTTTGAATAACCGTCCGTATATATATACTAGAATCTTTCTCTTTATAAACTACATACGGCTTCAACTTTTTCAAAGTGCGAAACTATTTTTCATCGTTTTTTTTCTAATTTCAAAGAAATTAATCCAAAAAAATCAAGTATTTTACAAAGTAAGTACACAGCATTTCTGAGAGAGGAAGCGAATTAAGATAAATAAAATCTTCCAACTTTTCCTCAGTGACAGAGTTGACCTATGTCCTTCTTGCGTCATATTACGGCACCTCTTTATCTTTCTCAGATAATGCATAAAATCCAAGATATCTCTCCTTTTGTATAGATTCAGTTAAACATAGTGATTGCACGAGATCTCAAAATAAAAGTGCACACAAGTGAGAAAATGCCTCAAAGACTGATGTCTTCATAAATGTGAGTATCCTTGGTGTAAGATCGCTTTGCCATTAGTGACTTTCAGGGTGTAGCAAAGATCAGTTCGATTCTGTTTGACCCACAGATGATTGGCGCTCAACCACATTGGCGCTCCGCCTCTTTCACAAGATGCTAGAATGGTTCGTTGTCTTACTTTCTTACTGTAAGATCTTGTAAGAAGCTTACTGTAAGATTCTATAAGATGAATCCGTTTCTATGATTTTCTGTAAGATTTTTATGCGAACTTGTACAATTTTTGTCTGATATTACAAGATCATACTATAGGATCATATAAGAAGGATCATTATAAGAATCTTATAAGATCTTACAGTAAGATTCTTTGACCTGGGCTGGTTCTTTAAATCCTACAATAGCAAAAGTAATCCTGAAACGCAGATCGAATTGATATGCTTTCGATCTGCGAACATTATGTGCACTCACATTGAAAAGAAGAATACTCCGCCAGCAATCTTATTCCTATGAGGCTCATTGTTGTTGTACGTATATATATCCGAACGCTCAAGATAAGTTAGGATAAAGTGCTGCGCAGATTAATGCATTTGACGTTAAATACATGTTAGCTAACATCTGAAGTGTATATCAGAAGACGTACTTTCCAGAAAGTTAAAACAGAAGATGATAATTGAAAACAAATATGAAACAGTGAGGGACTGGGTCTTCACTATGCACTAATTATTCAGAAAGATTATTTCAATAATGATTAAGGGGGGGGGGGGCCGGGCGGGGGGGGGGGGGGGGGGGGGGGGGGGGGGGGG